GCTGGGAAACGCCATTAAGAGTCATTCATATCAAACCAAGGCAGCGCATTCAATGGTATTCGATAGTGCATGCCACACCAACTATCCCTGGCACTGGAGTGAATGGTGGAGTGAATACCAGGCATGTTTATGTTAGTATCTGTCCGGGTTTGGAACGTTTCTGGATATGTATTCTTTGCAAAATTTACAAATGGCTCTTTTCGTTGTTGATAGCTGTGTAAAGTTTACAACAACATTAGTTTTATAAAGTGACGGTTGTGGATTTTGTTTAAAGATAAGACTGCAATATGACAATGTACTTTGTTTGGATATTTAATGATGGGTTTACATTAATTGGCGAATGTTTCATATTTTCTTTGTCTTGTGTACACGCAAACAGTAGAAAATGCCACCCAGCCAAATACGGGTAGAAACTCGTCATATCATCTACGCAGATTAGTCTAGTATTTGCAGAAAAACAAAATAACATCAAAAAGCGGCGCTTGCCTTAAAAACTAAATACATATTCATGAATATGCCACGTCGTCATACTAGACGGCCTTTAATATTGGAAGGAAAATATTGGAAGGTCGCACTGTTTTAGCCTGTGTAACTGCCTGATGTCCGTACAGTAAAGATGTACGAGCAGGCAGAGCCTGTCAGGACTCCGCAAGCAGGGTCCGGCAGGGAACACAATAACAGGCCTCGGGCGCCCTACCCAGATCCTCCCGCCCGCCGAGGTAACACTAGCGGGTATGTCGACCCTGGCGAACAGACATCTCACATGAATCAAGAAGAGGAGGGCACATCTTCAAACGTGTACGAAGAAGCTGAGGCGGTGAAACTGGAGAATATCTCAGGCGACGTGCCTCATGGAACCGACACGTCTACAGGTAGTGTACGGCTCTTCAGATTGTATTCTGCATTATTCTTACTACATATGTTATATCACATCTGCCAACATTGTACAATAGCGAAATGTAAGGCTTTTGATATTAATCAAGATAAGGAAGATGTACAGGTCGGTCTTTAGCTACGGTATTTTTCCCATTGCTCGGCGTGTTTGCAAAGTATCGGTTTACAAGACGCAATTTTAGGCTAACTGTTATACACTGGAAAATGATCAAATTATACGAAAGGAAAATTTCGTCAAAATAAAATGGAATTATTGTGTTTATTCGTTTTTTTTTTCGCCTAATGTTTCACATTCAACTTCTTTTTCTCCAAAAGACAATGGTTATTTTAGGGATTTGAAAATGCAAAATTCTAAACCAAAACGTCGTTTAACATCATATGTAACTGGAAATTCCTAGTTTTTAAAATATTTTCAAGTATCTAGGAATAAGTTTTAAAAATTGTGTTTCAGGAATTGTTAAATTTCGTAATTATGGGTTCACCACACCACGAAGTGGTGTGGTGAAACCATATTGCTTTTTCTGATGTTTCTTCTCCTTCTTCTCCTCCTCCTTCTCCTGCCATTTTTTAAATGGATTCAGCTTCTTCATTTTAGGGCCTAAGGTCCTGAAATTTGGTATGGAGGTACAGTGGGCAAATACCCCTAGGCGTTTTTTAAATTATTGTGATACAGGCTTTTAGAATGGTTTTATTTGAGTTTTTTGGCTGTGTTATAGCAAATGTATTACTGTGTTAGTTTGCCTTGTTTACCACGTTTGGGCATGAGTCATCACAATGGAATGCAGGGCATCAACCAATAGGCATGCAGCTTTCCTCTATACTTCTTGCTGATTGGCTGTTGGGATTTAACTTGATCAACACCTGCACAGAAGCATTTTCATACTGACAGTATGTCTGTATTCAAGTGTTTTGGTAGGTATTTCAAGCTTTCCTGCTCCAGCATTGGAATGCCGGGCATGGACGTTTTTTTTTTATTTTGAAAATCAACAGTTTGCATTATGCAATTAAAAATCCTAACCAATAAGGTAGGGAATAGCTATCCAACTGTTGTTTTAGTTGTATTTTACTTCATATTATAGTTATATCAATGTAAATCATTGTTTTCCCTTGTGTTTCTCATTCTTTCCCTGCCATGTGGTAAAATGTGGTGAACCCATCGCTGTATTTGCTCCAAAGCAAATATTGGCCTTTCTAGTCTAAGTATAGTTTATGTCAGCAAATATGTGGAAAATTATATTTTTTTACATTTTTCTAATTCAATCACCCATTATAAGAAATAGAAAACACACTTTTTTTAAATTTGCTAACACTCGATTCTCAGGTTGGGAAATTAATTACGGTTACTTTGAGCCGTCAATGATAAATTTTTAAAATTGTTGGTAGGTACTAAGGCCACATAGACTTAATTTTATGTATGACTACCACGCGCGCTTTGACCTTTACCTGTTCCAAAAAAATAATAAAACGTCCTCCGAGGCTCTAGGCCTGGGTAGTCGATAGTAGTTAGCGACATTATGGAGCAAGTGGTAACCCTGTAGGAGGGCACCCAGGCTGTCGAATCTCCACGGCAGCAAGAACTCAGTACATACGTACAGTGCTGATTTATAAATTCAGCGAAAAGCCAACATGTGCCGGCTTGTCGTATACGTCACTATGTACTGCCGCAAATTCACAATACCAGCGTTGTATTCCTGTGGTTTAGTAGCATTTTTATTTTTGGCCGGATTTTTTTATCCGCCCGCGCGCACTTGTTTGGGAGTCTTCAGAGGATGTCATCCATAAAATGAAGTCGGTGTGGCCTAATGCAAAATTTGGCCTGAACACCCCGTTTTACTGTAAATGACCGCGGTTGACCCCAGATCAAACGACGGTTCGGTTCGAATTACGTCAGATCGAACACGGTTCGGGTTCTAAAGCAGGCGTAGCCATAAGGGCTCAAATTTGACGATCGTGATGATATATTATATGCACTCATTCCGTATTTCAAATCCAGGCATTTAAATATCTCCTTCAATACACGCTAATATAGGCACACACACACACACACGCGCAAACACAAACACGCAAACGCACGCACACACACGAGCGCACACACACAAACACACGCACACACACACACACACACACACACACACACACACACACACACACACACACACACACATACACAAACACGAACACACAAACACACGCACGAGCGCGCGCGCACACGCATACCCAAACACGCACACACACGCACACAAACACACACGCGCACGCACACAGGCACACACATACGCATACACACACACACACACACACACACACGCAAGCAGGTGAAAATCTCTCTTGGCAGTTTGAAATATCACGGATTAACAACGATCAGCCTTCAAAGCTTGTTTTCATGTTTTCCCTGTTTAATTTTTGCGGCATATCTTAGTACTTGTTTACTTTTTATTACTTAACAAACATGTTATTATTAGTCTTTTTATCATTTATTTTATTTTGATATTTTATTATCTTTAACGATGAGTTTACTTAGAATATACACTCATTTTTTTACTAGACACTGAAACGACGCCCCAGGATGAAACAAAAAGCCGCTGTGTCTGCTACATGGCCGCCGTTTTGGGGACTCTGGTCATAGTTTGCGCCATCGTACTGATTTCCATCAACTACGGGACTTACAATCATGAAAAGGTGATCTTAAAATCTTATCTTGAGCGCGTCAAGAAATAGGTTCCTCCGTAGGAGCGACAATGCCCTGGATTGAAAGAGATGTAAACCCAACTCATTGATCTAGAATGCGATTTCTAAATAGCCCGGGGGATGTTTAAAATAATTTTATAACCTAGAAGTAATGATAGCATTTGTACGGGTTTGTGTGTGTGTTAGTGTGTGTTAGTGTGTGTGTGTTTGTGTGTGTGTGTGTTTGTGTCTGTGTGTGTCTGTGTGTGTTTGTGTGTCTGTGTGTTTGTGTGTGTGTGTGTGTTTGTATGTGTTTGTGTCTCTGTGTTTGCGTGTGTATGTGTGTGTGTGTGTGTGTGTGTGTGTGTGTGTGTGTGTGTGTGTGTGTGGGAAGTGGGTGAGTGGGTAGATCTGCTGTGGTTGGTGTGGTTTTGTACGATAACTCAAGACGCGGTAGAGGTATTTTCATTGAACGGTAGATTGGCCGGCCTTGAAATCGTTTGATACGGGGCTTTATTGTGGCCAGTTATAGTTCACAGCACGGCTTCGAAACCTCTCGTTTCGATAGCTCAAAAAGCTAAGCTTGGGCCCTCTTAGCTTGTGCCTAAAAATGCAGCAGTGTTTTGTAATCTGTAACGACTACTCAAGAACCAGTTGTCGAATCTCCATGAATTTTGTAAGTTATTAGTATATTTCCATATGATATCTGACTTTGAAGAGAATATAGTTATAAAAAATCTAAAAAGAACATTTTTGTGGAGTACTAGACAAAATAAATTTTGTTTAAATAAATTGAGTGGCTAATAAACAAGCTCGTTTTCCTTCTTACCTGTGAAAGGTAGTATACTATACGTATCAAAGATTAAGTGGTAGACTAATTTGACGACCCACCCTAAGGCTATTTATTTACAGTGATGTCATATGCACCCAAATGAATTTTCGTCCCTTTAAAAATGTTTTTTGCATTAAAATGTAAATTGTTTCGATCAGCTGCAAAATAAGCAAATATATACTACAAACATAGTATTGAAGAACGATATTTATGTTGTAGAATGCCGAAACTAATTCTAAAGAAAAAGAAGATAATAACAAGACACCAAACTGAAAAACATTTTATTCACTAAACCATACTATATTTGTTTGTTTATTCGACAAGTATAAATACGAAGATTTTGAAATGAAGGCTACTTAAAGTAGAATTCAAACACCAAGAACGAAGTACACCCTGGGCCTAATTATTTGAAACTTTATTTACACACCTTCTTGCAGACAATAAGTCTGAATTGACAGGTATTTACAATGAAATAGATTAAAAACGCTAAGGAGTTAAAATACATGTAGACAATCAAATTCGGTTTAAAGTCAATAAATATGATAAAACTTGTATAGTCTATTATATATAATACAATTCATGAGGTCACGTCGGTATTTACAGATTGTCAGTTGAAGTGTTTGTTCAGCAAGTTTGTCATGTAAGGTATCGCAGAGTTTTTGTGGCGAGCTGTTCTACAGATGGGAATGTCCAGTTTGTTCGCACTACGTGTGTTTCTGCCGGATATCTGTTTACGGGATGGGGGTAACCAGTCACTGAATTCAGAGTTGAGGAGTTTCTTGGCGAAGGTGAGGCATAGATGAGTACGTCGTTCTGCCAAGGAGTCAAGGTTTAGTGTAGACAGTGCTGAGGTGTAGTCTGTGTACTCTGTGCCCAGGATGATTCTGCATGCTCGTTTCTGTTGTCGTTCTAGTCTTGCAGACTGTGTACAGGTCAGGGCCGGGTGCCACACCGGTGCCGCGTATTCCATAGTGGGTCTGACGTACACGATGTAGACGGTTGTGAGGTCTTGTGTAGTAACTCCAAACCTCTTCAGTCGGCGTAACAGGAACAGTTTTCTGTTTGAGGCGCTGATCATGTAATCTACTTGTATGTCCCATTTGAGGTCACTCTGTATTGTCACTCCCAGGACTTTGATGTGAACAACTGTCTCAAGTGTCTGTCCGTCAATGAGGAGTGGTTCAGGAGTGGGTGGGGTCCTAGCAAAACAGATGTGGAGTGCTTTGCACTTTCGGGAGTTCATCTTCATTTTGTGTTCTCTGACCCAGGTACTGAGGTTGTCAAGGGAGGTTTGTAGTGAACACTGTTGGTGGAGGAATCTGACTTGGGTGAGGTTCATGCCATCTACATATTTCCACCTGTTGCTTAGCTCCCTGAGTGCACTGTTGATCAGTGCAAGGAAAATAATAGGACCCAAGATGGTTCCCTGTGCTCCACCACAAGACAGATGTTGCCAGTCCGAAATTTGGCCATGGTAGCGCACACGCTGTCGTCTGTTGGACATAAAACTACAGATCCATGGTAGGAGGGATGGTCGCACTCCTAAATCAATCAGGCACTTCACTGCAGTGGTATGGTCGACCAAGTCGAACGCTTTAGAGAAGTCATATGTAATGAGCGTACTGATGGTGTTAGGAACTGACGATGATTTGTAGAGAAAGTCAAGCATGCTGATCAGGGCATGAGTGGTCGATCTGTTCTTTCTGCATCCGAACTGTCTGGGGTCCAGTTTGGTGGATATGTCCTGCATAATCCAGTGTGCGGCGAAACGTTCACAGTGTTTAGCAAGCTGTGCAGTGAGAAAAATCGGTCTTAACTCGTTTATATCAGGTGGTGAGGTTTTGGGAAGAGGAATAACATTTGCTTCTTTCCATTGGTGAGGGACGATTCCTTCTCTGAAGGACGAGTTCATCAGTTCACAGAAAGGCCCGCTGATCTCGCATGCAAATTTCTTCAGAATCAGGGCCGGGACGCCGCCAGGTCCAGGACTCTTGTTACAGTTAGTGGACTTGAGTTTTGTGTATGCGTCCCACACTTGGATGGTAGGAATAGGATGTGCCGGTAGGAAGGCTGGAAGCGTAGACGTATCCAAAGGCGGGAGGGACTGTGATATACTGGCGATCTTGACATTGATCGCGTTTGCTATGGCACTGTAGTTGTTGTGGTCAATACCTGGTACTTGGATATGGCAGGCTTTCTTAGTCGTGTTGCACATGACCTTGATCTTGTGGTGCCAGGACTTGGGGTTGCTGTTAATGTTGTTGTCAACGTTGATGTTGTAGAACTGTTTTTTTTTTTTGCTTTCCTGATTTCCCGTGCTACTATGTTTCTGTAGAACTTCGTCAGTGTTGTCGAGCACCCGGATTGAAAGCTCCTCTGCCGCTGTGTAATGAGCTGTTTTATACGTGGAGATATCCAAGGTTTGTCGTTTGGGTGCAGCTTGACCGTTTTAGACGGGAAGAACTTATCCACTGCGGTGGTCAGGGTGTGATAGAAGGCATCTGCCTTATCAACTGTGGTTGGAGTACGGTACACTTCATCCCAGGAGTGGGAAGTAATCCATTTACCGAACGCGCTCAGGTTGGGTTCACGGATAGGCCGGGTGACGTGTTTCGTACACAGGTTGTTTTTCAGTTTACTTCTGGGTTGCCACAGAATGCAGAAGTGATCACTTAGTCCAATTGGTGGGAGGATCTCAGGTGTCTGGTAGAACGACTTCATGTTAGATATGATCAGGTCAAGGGTGGCATTAACTCTGGTATGGCTCTGAACTACTCGGGAAAGATCTCTGTCCAGCAGGACGTCCCGAATGTTCAGGTGGTTGAAGTCCCCTAGCAGTGCTAGTCCGATGTGTGGGTGCCTCGTGCGCAGGTGATCCGTGGTTGTCGTGAGGTGATCGATCAGCTCTTCGGCATACGGTGATTGTGGTGGTGAATAAAGACAACAAAGGGCGATGGATGAGTAGTTTCTGGGCAAGCGATAGGGTCTTACGCTGACCCATAGGCATTCCAGGTGATCCGGTACGTTAATGTCAGTGATGGATGATGAGGGGATGTTGTCTCGAATGTATATTGCCACGCCGCCTCCCATGCGTGAAGATCGGCACTTAGAATATACATTGTAACCGTCGACTGACTGGAGCTGACTGGGTGTTGACTGTGTAAACCAGGTCTCAGCTATTGCTGCTATGTCGATGTTGTTATTTAGAAGTACTGATTGGAATTCATCCAGCTTATTAACTAATGAACTGGGATTGTGTAGCAGGAATGTTGGCACGGAGTAGGTGCAGCTGGGGTTGTTGTTGTTTACTCGTTTAACAGCCTTTACATTTCCGCGGGAAACAGGCAACAGGTTGGCGCGAGATCTGATCAGGTTAGATGATGTACCGGTTACAGTTTCAATTTTTCGTATAAAGTTGGTACCTGCTTTCTTCCCTCTGGGTCTAGAGTGACCTCGCAGTAGTCCATAGTTGCACAGCAAGCTCTTCGCGTCAGGAATCGGCGGTGAGGGGTTGCTGTTCTTCAGGCTTCTCATGAAGTCCGCAGTGTACAACAGGAGTTTCCTGGTCGCCATTGTTCTCAGACGGGGGAGGGTTAGCAGTAGATCCAGTTTTCCGCACAATCCTTCTAGAAAGCCGGCTGTAGATCCATTCGGAGAGGCCCAGAGTGATCTATATACGATAATAGTTACATACAAAGTCAAACACAAATCAAGTATTCGTTAAAAACTGGGAACTTTAAAATATCGCCGAGAGCAGCTTTTTCCCGTGGCAGCCCTTAGAAGCGCCACCTACCAACCTAATGACCTTAAAAGCCAAAATATGTCTACTGAATGGACCCGCAGTGGCCTAATAAGTCAGATTTACTCCAGACTAGCGGGAGAACTGCCCTTACCTTACCTTAGACCTTAGTCTCCTGTGCAGCAAGCTTTTACTTCCTTTTGTCAGCCGCTACTCACTCTTCCTCCTCCAAGAGAATATTCGCCCTTCTCAAATCTTCTTGGACGGTTCTCCGCCGGTATTATTTGGTCGCCCTATTTTCCTTCTACAGTTTGGGGATTTTTTTTCTTTTTCTGGGTAATCAGAGCATGTGTCCTTAGAACTAACTGCGTTTATATGGAGGAACCCCAATGTCATCAAATGTTCATATTGTTTCACATGAGAGCAAATATTCTTATTGTTTGATATGAGAGCAAATATTCTTATTGTTTCGTATGAGAGCAAATATTCTTATTGTTTCATATGAGAGCGAAAATTCTTATTGTTTCACATGAGAGCAGTACCGAATTTGGATTTGTCATCTTTGTATTATATCAAAATTAGTGTTTTTTTAGGGTAAAGGTTATTTTTCCTAAACACTGAGTATTGCAAAACGTTAACAGCACCCCATCCGTTGTGTTGAATTTACACGTCTTGAAAGCAAACTACATTGTGGTGAAATTGTGTTGTCATGTCCCTCCTTAATTTTCGATATCTTATTGATCGCCCCCATGAAACTCCTTCCTCTTCGCCCCCGCCGTTCTGCTTCGCCCCCGCCCCGTTCTGCTTCGCCCCCGCCGTTCCTCTACGCCCCCGGCGCAATTCTGCTTTGCCCCCGTCCTTCTGCTTAGCCCCCAATGGCGGCACAGCTCACAGTCGACACGAAAATCGTCTGCAAAATAACAATAAAGGCTGTGCCGCCAAATTTAAAGTAGCCCATGCTCCGGCAAACATTCTGGACCACCTTTCTGCCAAGTGGCGTTGCACAAATCCTTCCCATTCAAAAGTTTACCCCTACCTCACGGCCCGTCAGTGGTCTCGTCTAGTTTTTACACAGCATTCTAAATCCATGTCACATCACACAGCAAGGTATTGCCTTATAAATTCTACTTAGTATTTGCAGCACAATTTTTAACTTAACGCTATTACTGATAGCTGTCATTTTTTCACTATTGTCTATTTGTATGAAAAGGAACAGGATTAGTTACTGTTCAATTGGCTGATACAAAATCCCGCCATTATCCAAGTTGGCTTTAATTAGTACCCACCTTCCATGGCGATCAGCCTAGCGTCTGTCCAGCCGTGAGTGAAATTTCCCGCCAGTACTTATAAACGTAAGAACCACTACGGGCCGTGAGGTAGGGGTAAACTTTTGAATGGGAAGGATTTGTGCAACGCCACTTGGCAGAAAGGTGGTCCAGAATGTTTGCCGGAGCATGGGCTACTTTAAATTTGGCGGCACAGCCTTTATTGTTATTTTGCAGACGATTTTCGTGTCGACTGTGAGCTGTGCCGCCATTGGGGGCTAAGCAGAAGGACGGGGGCAAAGCAGAATTGCGCCGGGGGCGTAGAGGAACGACGGGGGCGAAGCAGATTTTTTGCGGGGGCGAAGCAGAACGGCGGGGGCGAAGAGGAAGGAGTTTCATGGGGGTGTTGATTCTAATGATAAAAATTACTATGTAAACAATGGCAGGATAATTTACTTTATACATTGTCTTTATGTTACGTAATGTAACGTTAATGCATATGAGTTATTCTTTGTCAGTAAAATACTAATGTTATGATGCTATATTATTAAAGTTATCTTTCAGACTAGTTTCATATCAGTTTTTCCGGTTCAATTTCAGTTGTTCTTGTCCAATATCAGTTTCAATGCAGCATTTGTCTTTGAGAAAGCTGGTCTGTTTGTGTTAAATCCTCTTAACCCTTGGGTGATTAGCTTGTACGGTGGGGGACTTGGTTTCCATTAAAACCCAAAAAGTCTGGTACTAACCAAAAACTATAGTACTAACCAATAAATTGTGGTACTAATTTTATGCAAATGAGTTTTAGTTTTTTTAAGTGACTCCCATGAGCCTTGTTTTGTGGTGACGGATGAAGTAAATAAAAAGTTCACAAATAAAAAAATAAAAAAGTACCACAGGGCTTTCCTGGTAGGGTTAGGGGCCATGTTCGAGGTTATGCTAACAGAACCAAACTTTCTTCACTATAGAGATATAAACACTGTAAATAAAGGGATAACATTGGCCATGTTCTACATCCGCAGAAAATCAAAACGTACTACGATATCATGATGCTAAATGCATGTCACAATATGACATCTTTAAACCATTTAATGAACTAAGTCAATAGTAGCAAACAGAATTCCACGGAGATACTTGATCTAACTTTATGTCACTTCTGTAGGAGAAACCCAACATTCCGACTGCAGTGGATACCATGAACCTCGGACGCAAGGAAAACCAGACTGCCGCTATTGAACGCCTTAAGGAGAAAACCAACATGACAGGTAGATTGGTTCTGCTATGAGCTGTCCATTTATGTGAAAAAAAATGAAAAATCCATTTAGACTGGTGATAGTACATAATAAATTACATTTGCATTGGTTTCAAATGTAAATACGATTAAATAAATTTATCTCTAGAATTAAGAATAGGCTCAATAAGATTAAAAAAAAGTTAAGGAACCTGAGGTTTAACACCTCCGGGAAGCAATATAGCAATTGGTATGGGGTTAAGATTGTTGATTCAGAACCAGAAGTTTCAAATACGAGTCGCTGGCAGGCTTCATCGTAGTGTCCTTGGAAAATGCAACTATTTCTGGGAGAAGGGGACTTTGCAGCCCTAATTTAACCCCAGCGTAAGGGCATTAAGTAGGTTGCGGATTCGGAAAAGGATGTTTAATAGATGTATCAAAATATATTGAATTGGTAGGCTTTGGTTGGAACATCAAATATCAAGCTAATTGTTGAGTGAATTATAGTACACTAGTGGCTTTTTATTATACTATAGAGAAACGCATGGTTAAATATCTCGTGTTCTAGACTTACTGAATTTTGCTTTTGAGTGCGTAATTAATTGTGGCTGTATCACAATCGCTCCAAAAACAGTTAATGAAGCAACTAGATACAATTTTGGACATAATCTAATATTTCAGGGGCATCCATTTCTTTCCAGACCTCTTAAATTGAGAAAGTTAATAATGAAGTTTATCAGTCAACTTAGTATTAATTGATGCGTAAAAAAAGTTAAGATAAACTTGATTGCTCAATAGAAAACAAAAGTTAGACAAAATCAAGAAAAGGTTCTCAGCAAATGGTACAAAGGCTTCTAGATATATCCAGTGTCACTGACGAAAGGTAGGTAGTGATTGCTACGTGAAACTTCTGACCGTTTCTAAAAGTATATCCAGTTGCTTGAGTAACTGCTTTTTGGTGTATAATTATTACCTAGATGTCTTCATCCATGTAGTAAAAACGTGCATGAGAGTATTGAAGATGAATTTCATCTTGTTATGACTTGTCCCACCTATAGAAAAGAAAGAGATACATTGTTACAGACTATTACTACTAAGACAAAATTCACCCAATCTGGTACACAGTTTATACGATACATTCCATGAATTATTGTCATGTCCAACTACCATATATTCTTATTAGGGCCAATTTTTGTACACTTTATTTCATTATCGAGAACATATCATCAATGCATGACCATTGTAACTCAAACATTGTTTAGATAGTAGTTTGTAGTAAGTAAAGTTTTGTAGTATTGTTGTATTACTGCCATACATTGTACCATGTACGATTGTTGAGCAATAAAATTCATTCATTCATGTATTGCTGCCCATGTCATCATGACAATCAAATCACGACGTTTTAAATACAGCCGCCAGGTGTCCTCCGCTATCGCACCCCAAAAATGGTTTCATGGGCGGAAACAACTCCTACGGAGACGTGGTCAACTTCACGTGTGAGCCAGGATACAAACTTGTTGGTACATCTTTACTGACTTGTCTGTCTGATGGATCTTGGGATGGAACCTCACCAACATGCACAGGTAATAGTAAAGGTAGTAATATTTGTGTTTTTGCCTTAAATTTGATTTACGTAAATCAAAAATATATAAAACAAAAAGAAATGTTACCTGCTTGGTAGACTTGACATTGTTAATGTTGTACTGCTAACCTCGTTAAATAAATTAGTTTATTTTATTCACATTTATTTTCCGAGGATGAGGCAAAAAGTTATAAAACTTATCTCAGCCCTCTCCTCACACATAAAAGGATACAATAAAACAAAGTAATAATAATAAGAAGAAATGACAAGGGTACATAGTAGGCTGGTGTACAAATCAAAATGAATCAACTAAATCAAACAAAACGTCCTGTCTGCAAAATAAAGTTGAAAACCACATCAAATATGTTACAGTTGTTGACAAACGACAATGAGGGGTTACCCCTGAGAATGGTTGAACATAAAGTGTTGTCGGTGACGTTGTTTGTGTCAAATGGCAGAATGTTAGTTAGAGATGATAACATGTCAATGCGTTCGTCAGTGTACAGTGGGCAGTGTAGGAAGTAGTGTACAGCTGTTTCGTTGAAGTGACCACATTTGCACGCAGGACTGGGCACACATTGATGTTGGAACAGGTGAAAGTTTAACTGACTGCGGTTGAGTCTGAGTCTGGTAAGGTGGATAGCTGGGTTTCTCGGACCGTGGGAGAAGTGAGGTTGAGTGTGAGGGCTGTGATAAAACGTCTCCAACTCTTTTTTAAAGATGGCAATTGATGTTGATGCTCGTGTAGTTAATGGCAAGTTATTCCAGGAAACAATGGAAGTAGGCAGAAAAGATCTTTTGAATTTCTCAGTTCTAGCAGGAATTAAGACGTAATTCTGATCAGTACGGAGACTGTAGGGGGTGGAGTCACGGGTTTGTAGTGGTACCAATTCCTGTAAGTATTTTGGTGCTAATTCTTTGATAATTTTATAAAAGTTTACAAGTTTATGCTTTTGACGCCTACATGACATGGTTTCCCAGCCAACCTCAGACAAGATGCTATTACTATTTGTTCCTCTCATTGCGCCAGTACATATCCGAGCTGCATTGAGTTGAATAGATTCAATTAAGTCAGAGTCTTTACCAGTTAATCCGTCCCAAACAACGTCGGCATACTCCAGTAATGGCCTTATCATTACTTTATATAAGGTTTCAAGAGTTTTTCGTGGAACAAAGGATACTATTCTTTTTAAAAGGTTAATCCGTTTCATCGCGGTAGCAGTTATAATTGAAACATGTAATGACCATGATAGATTAGGGGTAAGATGTAGGCCGAGGTGTTTATGGGAAGGGACTTCCATTAACTGAACTCCTTTAAAATACAATGGTGGGTGGGCAATTTTTATACGTTTGGATGGAAATGTAATAAGTTCAGTTTTGAGTGGGTTAAAGGTCACCAGCCATTGGTCTGCCCAGTTTTCCACTATTTTGAGGTCATGATTTAGTCTATCAGCTGAAATAACAGGATCTCTAACAACTTCGGTCAGTGAAGTATCGTCGGCGAATAGACGGCCGTCTGTTACCAAGTACATCCACTAAATACGTTAATAAAAACGAGAAAAAGCAACGGGCCTAAGAGCGAGCCCTGTGGCACGCCCGCATCAACAGGCACCCAATCAGAACAGGTGCCGTTAATCACGACACGCTGTTGTCGGTCGTTTAAGTAAGAAGAGATCCAAGCTAGAAGAGATCCGGTTATTCCTAGTTGCTCTAATTTGAAAATTAACCCCGCGTGCCAGACTTTGTCAAACGCTTTGGATATATCTAGGAAGACAGCGCGTGTATCAAGTCCTTTGTCAAGTGCAAGATGCACATTGTGAGTTAGATATGTCAATGAATTTATTGTGGAGTCCACAGGGGGAAACCCAGAGTTCCGATCAGTAAGCAGTTTGTTTTCCAGGAGGTAAGAAGACACTGGCATGTAAACAATTCTTTCAAAGACTTTCGATATACAACATAGAAGAGAAATAGGCCTGTAATTTATCTTGTCTTGTTTGTCGCCTTTCTTGTGAATTGGAACTACGTGTACAAATCGGGGAAGAGAGGCACCCATTGTATTTAGGTATGTTTGTGACGCAAAGTACTGATTGAAAGTATCAGCTTTGGCCTTATCGTCGGATATAACACATCCATTGTCAATCAAAGATGGTATTGTATGATCAATTTTGCCGAGAAAAATTTCTTTGGAGACTGACCACCACTTCTTAGGATTCGTAGACGGGTTTGCGAGATCGAGACACCGGCTGAGTCGATAGTTTAACTTGGCTTTCCTGATCAAATTTGTGCAGGAATTGCGGATGTGTTTAAATGTAGTAAACAGAGTTGGACTTTTCGTCCTTTTGTACTTCCGATAGATTCGCTTCTTTTTCCTCAGCATGTGTCTAATTTCACAGGTCATCCAGGGTTGATCTTTCGGGCGGACAGTGATTTCTTTACAGGGAACAAACAGTTTAATAGCACTAGAAAGAGTTGCCATAAATGCTACAGTTGTGTCGTTTATATCAAGACTATTCGCTGATAATATGGCATTCCAGTCCGTAGCAAGGAGTTTAGAGTTTAGTCCCTCGTAATCAGCCTTTCCAAAGTCGTAGACAGTGCGTTTAAGTGCTTTAACATGAGGGATCTTGAGGGACATTTTTCCATAAATAAGAGAGTGGTCGCAATTTGACAAAGGGGGGCTCGTACCACACTCAGTAAAAAGACATGGAGAGTCAGTTATAAGCAGATCAACCATGGATGATGTCCGATCAGTAATGCGGGTGGGTTCACTTATGAGTTGGACAGAATTGTTATCGGCCACAAACCTATCAATTTCGACAGAGGCGTTATCAGATGCACTGTTCAAGTCTCCAACAATGATTACAGCTGTTTTATCAGTGGGGCGACTGGTCATGATAGACCCTGTCTATACGGAACCACCCAAGGCGGTTTACATGTGGTTTACCCCGAAGCCGGTTTCAAGTGGCTCCATCTGAACGCTCCGAAATCACATTGAAAGCGCCTCGATCCCAAGCCACTTCTAGAGGTGGTTTCGAATCGCTTTCCCCGCATCGCGATTTGCGTCTGAACGCAATGTGATTTCAATGTGACTTCGCCTGGTCATGGATTACGGAGTGAAATTTTTGTTTTATATGCAATACCAACTTTTACGTGGCAGCAACTTAAAGAGCAGTAATGGTCAAATAATGTGTCCGTTCTAGGGCGAGCTTCACCGCCTCTGGCGGGACCACGTCGGCATTCTGCCGAGATACGCTGGGAGGGGGGCAACAGCAAGCAGGTCGTTGACCTCTGACATTAATAACACGCCGCCTTGCGTGTTATCATCAAACAGCAATAAATGTTGCTCAAGCGTATTGTGTTCGGACACGGTTTCACAGATGTGTGTGGCACGTGGACCAGATGTGAGGAATGTGAGTTACCCGAATCGCGTCTTGGGTGGTTCCGTATAGACACGGCCATAATGTCTGCGGATTGCTGCAGGTGTTCTATAAATGCATTGCGTTCTTCCGCACTCTGACCAGGTGGCCTATAACAAGCACATATAAACACATGTCAATCGTTGGCTTCTACCTCGCACCAAATTGTTTCAAACGAGTTGCATTCTAAATCATTCCTTCTTTTCGAAGGTACAGAGTTCAATACATATAGTGCGACTCCACCACCATGCCGATTTCGATCACGTCTCATGGGGGCTTGGTAGGAAGCGAGAGAAATGTCCGAATCGGGAATGGTAAAATCGCACCATGTTTCAGACAAAGCAATAATATCATATTTCTCTTCAATGGCGATTGTCTCAAGCTCGTGAAGTTTAATATAATCGTTAGCAGACAGGCTCCTCACGTTTGAGTGGCATATGGACAAACATCTCTGTAAACTACCCATAATCAAATTGGATTACTTGCAATGCCAACAAAACGAGAGGACTTAGATAATAACAAGGACACCAGCTACAAAACTTATAGGTAAGACACACAAAGAAATACATAATCCTACTTCTAACACAGCAAAAACATGAGAACATAATCAAGTCAAGGGCCTCTAAAACAGAGGCCATCAAAAAGAAACTTAGCTAGAGAGCGCTGGAAAGTCCTTCGGTGCTGTGTCAATCAAAGTCATTACTCGGGGACCCGATAAGCGTCCAAGTCGATCGCTGTGTACAATACCCGCCTTTCGTCTTGAGGAGTCTTGACGAATATTTTTCCATCATATGTCCAGGCTTGGTTGAGTAGTTTCATCTTCACGAGAGACCGGGCGTCCTTCAACAGATCCATGTTGGCTTTCGTCAAGTTTTCGTTTACAAAGATTCCGTTCTCCTTCAAGGCGGCCATGCCGCTGGTCTTGGCCCGCATGAGAGCTGCCTTAGACCGATACGAGCAAAATTTGACGATGATCGGACGAGGCTTTCCATCTCCTCTGGGCCTCCCCAGGCGGTGGGATCGGTCAATGTCGTTGATGTGTAATGGAGGATCACATTTGAGCGTATCATTCGCAACAGACAAAACTGGGTTATCCGTGCTCCGCTCACCAGGTGTTTCAGGTATTCCAGAAATGTTTGCGTAATTCCTCCTGGAATACTGCTCAAGGTTGTTTACTTTGGTCTGGAGCGTGTTGAATTCAGACTTGAGGTTTGTATACTTCGTTTTCAGGTCCTCAAGCTCTACCCGTTGCTGGTGTGCCTCCTCGTAGTGTTTCGCCAGCTCAGCTTGAATGGAGTCGACAACAGCTTCGCGTACAGCGGACACAATGGAGGGCACTATGGCGGCCAGTACCCCCCCCCCCCATGTTGGAAGGCGTTAACAATAGAATCCTCAATAATGGCCTTTATCCTGGTATCGACTATACCTGGAATAACGTCTTCTTTTTCCCTTGCTGTAAGGCCCATGTTGGAGTAACCAGGAAGTAGCAAACGGGACGCAAAAGTCAAATTATTAGCACCTCAAGGACAGCGCTAATTAATCGTGCCTGCAGACGGCAGCCAGTTAAATAAATTGGCATGTTTTATCTTCAGCTGTCCAGTGTTCTCCGCTGACAAATCCCATCAAAGGCTTTGTGACTGGGCCCAACTCCTACGGAGACGTGGTTAACTTCACGTGTGAGCCAGGATACAAACTTGTTGGCACATCTTCACTGACTTGTCTGTCTGATGGAACTTGGGATGGAAAATCCCCAACATGTACAGGTAATGCATTGCAAAAAATCACAAATGTATTTGTTTAATTGAAATTATATGATAATAAGATACCAAATGTATTATTTGTTAAAAGTTAGGAAAGCACTCGTGAAACTACTAGGGCATCGTATATATTTTACCGATCTTGTCCAATTGAATATGGATGTTTTAACTACAGCTGTCGAGTGCCCCTTACTGTCGCCTCACCTCAACGGCAAAGTGACTGGCACCAACTCCTACGGAGACGTGGTTAACTTCACGTGTGAGCCAGGATACAAACTTGTTGGTACATCTTCACTAACTTGTCTGGCTGATGGAACTTGGAACGGAAACCCAGCAACATGCACAGGTAAAATTTTTAAGACATGTATTTGGTTTCTGTTTTTTTTAAATATCTATATACATGTAGTATGATGTAATTTAAAGTGGGCTTCTTATATCATCAGAAGACCAACATCCACAGGTAATTTTTTCCTGTGTGTTCGGTCAATCATAATCCAATTCTATGTAATCATATAACATTTGTAAAGAACAAAAAAGAACGCTTTGGTTTAACACCAAGACATTGCTGCTAATGTAATCTTTTCTATTTTATAATGTGTCATTGAAAAATAAATTACAATTCACAAAACATTCACAGGTGTTTCATTTGAAAAAAAAGTTATATATGTGTGCATTTGCTCTTATTTTTAAATCTATAATTGGATAAAATTTGTTAAGTAAGAAAATAATGACACTCCGGTATATAATTACAATTACATCTCACATATTTTTGCTGCTAATGTCATCTTATCTATTAAAATTGAGATATCTTTCGTATCATCTTGTCAAATAATTCAGGATGCTTTTAATACAGCTGTCAAGTGTCATCCGCTGTCAAACCCCTTTAACGGCTTCGTGACTGGCTCCAACTCCTACGGAGACGTGGTCCACTTCACATGTAACCCAGGATACAAACTTGTTGGCACATCTTCACTAACTTGTCTGGCTGATGGAGCTTGGAACGGAAACCCAGCAACATGCACAGGTAAAATGTTTAAGACTTGAGTAATTGAGTAACTGCTTTTTGGCGTGCCATGTTTAAGACATGTATTTGGTTTCTTTTTTTTAACATCTATATACATTTACTATATATAATTTAAAGGGGGTTTCTTATGTTATCAGAAGACAAACATCCACAGGTAATTTCTTCGTGTAATCGTGTAATCATGTAACATTTGTAAAGAAACAAAAGAAGAACGCTTTGGCTTAACACCAAGACATTGCTGCTAATGCAATATTTTCTATTTGATAATGTATTTCGTGTCATTTGAAAAAAAATTACAATTCACAGAACATTCACATGTGTTTCATTTGAAAAAAAAAGTTATATATGTGTGCATTTGCTCTTATTTTTAATTGTATAATTGGATAAAATTTGTTAAGTAAGAAAATAATGACACTCCGGTATATAATTATAATGACATCTTTTTGCTGCTAATGTCATCTTATCTATTAAAATTGAGATATATTTCGTATCATTTTGCCTAATAATTCAGGATGCTTTTAATACAGCTGTCAAGTGTCATCCGCTGTCAAACCCCTTCAACGGCTTTGTGAGTGGCTCCAACTCCTACAGAGACGTGGCGAACTTCACGTGTAAGCCAGGATACAAACTTGTTGGCACATCTTCACTGACTTGTCTGTCTGATGGAACTTGGGATGGAACCTCACCAACATGCACAGGTATTGCTTGCTTTTATTTTGAGAAAAATTATTATATTTGCGGAGGAATAAAAAAAACTAGGCAGCTGAGTAGCTTTTTAACACCTTTCTGGTCGCTTAATAATTAAGTTCTGGCTTTTCGTATATTTTATTGCCAGTATGTTGAACCGCCATCGACGTTACAAAGGCTGTGGTTAATGCGCAGGTGAAGCTACTGTGACAAAGAGAAGACTTCTACATCTGTTATTTTGTCAATTGATTCCAATGTTTCAAATGCAGCTGTCCAGTGCCCGTTAGTGTCGCCCCCAACCAACGGCATCCTGACTGGCACCAACTCCTACGGAGACGTGGTCAACTTCACGTGTGAGTCAGGATACAAACTTGTTGGCACATCTTCACTGACTTGTCTGTCTGATGAAAATTGGGACGGAAACCCAGCAACATGCAAAGGTTAATTAGTTCCAGTTTTTTTTACATCTATATACTTATTTATAAAGTAAAGAAGGCCCTGGTGACGCAATGTTGATGTCTTCATTTCAACAACATTCACGGGAAATTTATTAAAAAAAATAAGTTATATGTGTGTGCCTTTCTCCTAATTTGAATTATGTAATGAAGTAACTTTTGAAAAAAAAGGAAATAAGGATGACCTTGTAGGAATTAATTTTAGCTTTGTTTCTCGTTGTCTTGTAGTCCCATTACCCAACCCTTTTTGGAAACATGCTTAAATCAAAGTCTTTGTACCCGAGGTCTTATAGCTACAGACCCAGCATGTAGCTGTCCATACAAAACGATTGCTCACTATCTGTTACACTACCCTTTATTTATTTACGTCTTCGGCAAGCCTTGTAGCATTCTTGGACACATACGTGTAGTGACTTCAACACCCCCTCAGACAAAGCTAAAGAAATTTTAGTTCTTCGTGGAAATTTGTTCTGTTCATACGACATCAACTGTAGAATTATGTTTGCCACAGAAAACTACATTACAGAAAAAAAGTTTGTATTTGCCTCTGGAAAGGGAGATTTGATTTACGCTTTAACTATTTCTCTAATGAAACCGCCCTTTTAAACGTCTTGTAAAAAAACTTTATTTTTCATTAAAAGAGTAGCTTTAAGATTATAAGTTATGCCTTACTTGAATTCACAGTCATTTTTTCTGCTTCATTTTTAGTTGTATTGATTACTGTTTTCCTGATTATTAAAAAAGCTTCGTAGGTGTTTTGCTGCACGTGTAATTATTTTTTTGGGATGTATTTAAACAGCTGTACAGTGTTCTCCACTATTAAATCCCATCAATGGCTTGATGAGTGGGTCCAACTCCTACGGAGACGTGGTCAACTTCACGTGTGAGCCAGGATACAAACTTGTTGGTACATCTTCACTGACTTGTCTGTCTGATGGAAATTGGGACGGAAACCCAGCAACATGCACAGGTTATTTAGTTCCTGTTTTTTTTACATCTATATACTTATTTATAAAGTAAAGAAGGCCCTGGTGACGCAATGTTGATGTCTCCATTTCAACAACATTCACGGGAAATTTATTTGAAAAATGTTATATATGTGTGCCTTTGCTCCTAATTTGAATTATGTAATCAAGTAACCTTTGAAAAAAGGAAATATGGATGACATTGTAGGACTTTTAGCTTTGTTTCTCGTTGTCTTGTAGTCCCATTACCCAACCTTCTGGAAACATGCTTAAATCAAAGTCTTTGTACCCGAGGTCTTATAGCTACAGACCCAGCATGTAGCTGTCCATACAAAACGATTGCTCACTATCTGTTACACTACCCTTTATTTATTTACGTCTTCGGCAAGCCTTGTAGCATTCTTGGACACATACGTGTAGTCAACTTCAACACCCCCTCAGACAAAGCTAAACAAAATTTAGTTCTTCACGAAAATTTAGTCTGTTCAAACGACATCAACTGTAGAATTATGTTTGCTACAGAAAACTACATTACAAGAAAAAAAACTTTTTTTTTCATCTACATGTGTTCTGTTTTGCTTATTTTGCTTCTGGAAAGGGGGGGTTTACTTTACTTCTAACTATTTCTTTAATGAAACTACCCTTTTTAAATGTTTGTAAAAAAAACTTTCATTCTTATTGAAAAATTGGCTTTAAGAATATAAGTTGGACCTTATTTGAGTTCACAGTCAATTTGTCTGCGTTCTTTTATTTTTATTTATTTCTATTTTATACGATTATTAGAAAAACACCTTCTTTGGTGTCTTGCTACTCGTGTCATTTTGCTTTGCTTTGGGATGTATTTAATTCAGCTGCCCAGTGTTCTCCACTATTAAATCCCATCAACGGCTTTGTGAGTGGTTCCAACTCCTACGGAGACGTGGTCAACTTCACGTGTGAGCCAGGATACAAACTTGTTGGTACATCTTCACTGACCTGTTTGTCTGATGGAACTTGGGATGGAAAATCACCAACATGTAAAGGTAGTATATTTCCAAAAACGATTTACATGTTATTGTGTGCCTTTTCAAAATTATTTGAATTATATAATAAGGTATATAACCTAACAAATAAAGCCGTTGCTTTTAACAAGGTAAGAAGAGAATGAGTAAGTACGTAAGGAGGTAATTACGTAATATTTTTATGTAAAATATCAAAAAAGGCTGTAGTAAAACCACTGGGACGTCGTGAAGTTCTTTTTTTTCTACTCAGACAATTAATTTTGAGCACTAAATTAGACTGTTGTGTAAAGTGTTTAGTTGTATGTGTTATACGTACATATTTTTACTTTCATGTCATTGATTGCTTGAAAAAATCTGGAATGTGTTTGATTATATAGGTTTTCTATGTTTATTTGTCATAAGCTATTATTTTGTTGGCTTCATGATTAATATTTGATGTTTGTTTTGTTATGATTCATGTATTATTAGTTATCGTTTGGTAGCCTCATTATTAATATTTGGTAAGATTTAAGTCAGAGGACATTTTACAAGCCTTACTGGCTTCTTTCCTCCTACTGCACATTTTTTTTTGCATTTGTTGATTGATGTTTTTATTTGTTCAAATAAATAAATGAAATAAAATATATAAATGTTTTAAATACAGCTGTCCAGTGCCCAACTCTGTCACAACCACCCAATGGATTCATGACTGGCTTTAACTCCTACGGTGACGTGGTCCACTTCACATGTGACGAAGGATACAGGCTGGTCGGCAAATCTTCACTCACCTGTTTGTCTGATGGAACGTGGAGCGATCTGTCACCAACATGCGCTGGTAAGGATTATGAAAATATTTTCCTTAAGTTAAACTCTGGAAAAAACTTAACTTCAAACGTGAGTATCAATTCACTTTATTCCACTCTACAATTCAGCCATTTAGGCTGCCACCGACTTTTAAACCTGTATGTCTATGTATTTGTTTATGTGAATAATAAACCAGTCATCCTCATCATATTTATTTAAACTGTTAATACAACACTCTATGTAACTTTCCTAAAAAAAGGTTGTGATCAAAGAATTTTGCTATTTATAAGGCATAAATCTAAAAAATCCCAACAAATAAAAACATCTCCACGCATTTTATATATTTCCTAAAGTCTAAATTAAAGTCATAGCTGTTTCCGTTTCTTTTACTACAGTGAAAGGTTTCACCGTGTGGGCACAATCGTTTGCAATTGAAGATCCCAGTTACCACCATGACAACTTTAAGAAAACGTACATCAAAATCAACGGACAAGAAAGCAGGATCGGGAAACGTAAGTATGGAATTAATTTTGATCAACATTCATGGCGGTTGGTTGCTAGGCTAAAAGTCGCATTGCTAAGGAGGTATCAGGTTATATTACAGACGCGTTCAAACCTGGCCGCGCGGGAGTCCCGGTGTCAAGCCAAATACATGATCCTGCCAAATATACGACTCCGACACTACTTGGGGGTTTCCAATATACCCAAGACAAGGGGTGGGAGGGGTTAAGTCGTGATGTGGGAGACTAAACCTAACCTAAACCCCAATCGTAACCCCAACCCTAACCCTGACCCTAGCCCAAGCCCAAGCCCTAGCCCTAGCCCTAGCCCTAGCCCTAGCCCTAGCCCTAGCCCTAGCCCTAGCCCTAGCCCTAGCCCTAAACACCTGACCTCTCACGTATGTGGCAGCTCAAGGATTTGGCTCAACACCGGGCCGGCCCAGGGGTAACGGATAAAATTTAAAAATAAACAAGTGTCCATAGGCAACAATTCTCCGTAAAGTTTTAGATTTTGCAGATTGAGAACAGTAATAGTGTATGTAAACAGTGTGTGATCACTTAACAACTGGTAACAACGTATAGTAAAATTGGCTAAATCCCTGGTCTAATAATCTAGCCAGACTAAAAAATCGCGCTCCTGGTGGCCACCTGCCCAGAGGTTTGCCGCCCCCTTAGGGAAACAGTTGCAGACTGACTAGTGTAAACACAGGCTACATAAAATCCACACGGAGTAAGAATAGTCATTAGGGAGTAAATAGAACTTTCTGTCTTAGTTTTTTTTATTTTTTTACTAAAACTCGAATCACAGTTAGAAAAAGAGCTAAGAATACCCATAGTTCATTAGCGTGGCCATATTCAACAAGGGTGGTGTTAAAAAAAAACACACCGGCGACGTATTTTAATAATAAAATTATTACCTTCGCCAAGAAGGTTATGTTTTCAGAGGCGTTCATGTATGTGTGTGTGTGTCTGTGTGTCTGTAAACAAGATAACTTGAGAAGGCCTTGATGGATTGTCTTGATATTTGGTAGGTGGGTAGGTCTTGATGAGACCTCATAATGATTAGATTTGGGGCCCCCTAGCGGCTTGTTATGGTACTGCAGCTAAACTTCCGGTTTTCATATCTCATGATCTAAACATGTTAGGGTGACGAAATTTAGATGGTAGGTAGCTCTTGTGCTGGGGAAGAAGTGACGTGAGTTTAGACCCCCTAGCGGCTTGCTCTGGAACTGCAGGGCTATATGCTTGAAAGTATTCAAAAGAGGATAACTCAAGAGCCGGTTGATAGATAGTCGTTATTGTTGGTATGTAGGTAGCTTACGTGATGCTTGCTATAATTATGTGATTTGCATAATTTATGGGGAAATTCTATAAATCAGCTGCATTCCATGATAGGACTATTGAAGCTCGTGAAATTTTTAATTGAGAACGAGAGAAACACAGGCAGATATTGATTATGTAAATGAAGACCTAATTTGCATAATTAATTTTATAATTATGTTATGATAAGTGCCTGGAATTTCATACTTGTGGTATTTGAAAGATAAGTGAAGGTGAACACTTATCTTTATCTTATGAAAACATAATGTATTCAAATTAGGACCTCATTTGCATAATTTATTAGGAAATGCTAGAATGGCATTGTTTGTTAATATAAGACTGTACATTGCGAATATGATAAATTGATATCCATGAAAATGAGAATGGAAATGAGCACCCTATTTGTTAAATCAGGGGGAATAATCTATAATTTGTCAGTCATAAAGATTAACATCATTTGGCGAAGGTATGAGATCGGGGACCTCTAGTTATATTATAGTATAAATTTGTAACCCTTTTGATATGCCTTGTTTAAAAGGAATTTTTCTTATAACGGATTGTTGTTTTAGTACTACTAGTATGTCAAAATGTGTGTGCTTTTAACACCGTATTGTATGTAGGAAGTTGTATTGTTTGTTTTTGAGGATGCTAATATGATGCATGCATCAACGACTGATGAAATGTGTACCCTGAGCTGTAACTCACATTCGTATGGATTTATGTTTGATTATTTAGGAAGTACGTGAGTAAGGTATAGTTATTAGAAAACAGTGGTATCTGACGCAAGTATTACCAAATAAGGATGAGCTTTATAATAGGTATTGCCATATATAATAGACACGCTACGTGTACACCCAGTGGGTCTACACCAGAAAGCAGACCGGGCGCTCGTCCAAGGTTCCCCAGATATCTGGTGTCTCCATATTCCACCTAACATGTCTGACTTTCCTCAGCGCCTTCACAAATTCACGGAGGCGCTGAAGGGACTTGTGCAGAACTACCCCAAGGTCACAGTATGGGACCACAGACGTCTGTGGAAACGCAACCCAAATTGCAAACTACTTTGCGCCTGACGGCCTACACTTGTCCGATCTGGGAAACATCCAGTATTACAAAAGTGTCCGCGGGGCTTTAGACCGCCACATGCTCCCACACAGCGTCCTATTAAAGAACCCTATTGAATATGCGTGTGTGAGTCTTTTGTGCAATACATTATACAGCCGCATGATGGCTTCTGGCGCCTGGGTTCGTCACACAGACGATCCTGGGAAGGAGATCATGCTGGGCGAGGCAGACTGTCCGGGGAACGAGTTAATTATTGACGGGCCAATGCCCAAACTCCCTCCGTGGCTAAGTTCCTATTCGTGACTAACTCCCTTCTGAGGTAACGGTAACGAACAAGCGTCGAATTTAAACAGATTTTTCACTCGTCTGTTGTCGAAGTGTACGAGCTAAAACAAACTTTGTGAGATTACGGACATCATCACAAAAACTTTGTCCATTCTTGTGGTTATTTTTAGGCACGTGCTCCCATGCATAACGCCGCAACCAGGATTTTTCAAACTAGTACGGAATTAGGGGTAGGTCGGAATTAAGGCACCCCCTCAGGATCTAAGTATTTATCTCTGTTTATCGAGAGATGCTGTTTTCCCTAGCGTCGCCAAAGAAAGGTACTTCGTATAGGTCCGTTTCAAATAGTGTATTACCACTGTGACAACATTTTATACTCCAAAATAGGAATCTTGCGTCTTGTTTAGACTCGCTACGGTAGAAATAACGCAGTGCCAGATCGCCGCCGTGTATATACGTTACGTACTAGCGAGCGCGCACGAAAATACCACCCGAGTAGAGTAGGTTATCACAACCCTTTAGAAAGACACAAAGAAAACAAAAACGACAGATTTGCATTAAGAAAGGGAAATTTATGCCGGACTTGGCCGGACACGAAAGCCGATCCTCGCCCGCTAGGTTTACGTTGACCAGTGCACTACGTGCACGGGGAATTCCCGGTTTGTACCACACGGGGTCTCCTTGTTTGTATCGCACGGGCCACGCTCAAACTTTTCTGGAATTGACCAATCAGAGCTCGTTAAAACCATTTGCTCTCTTCACGCGTCCTTTCCACAAGCAGGACGCTCATTTACATGCTCATTTAGCCAATGACTGGTGAGAGCAGTCAGCGTCAGGATTCAGTCGACCACAGGACCCCAGGTTAGTAACACACACTCTGTATTAGCTCTCTGTAGTTCATATCCCTTGTGGGTTCCACTCCTGTAACTTAGATCCGAAACTAGACCACTGTAACTCTAAGACTAGACCATTGACTTTGTATATATACAGCAGATCACAATACAGCAACCCGTACAATCGAAATCGACCCGGCTCTGTGTTTTACTTGGTTAACTAGCAAATCCGTGACGTAAGTAAAGTTAGACCAAGAACTAAAACGAGATCCCCGAAATACTACACTGATTCCTCCTAAATTCTACACTGGTTCCCATACCGGATTGTACGTCAAGTTGTTGTCCTGTGAACGCTGCTGTAATTGCTAGAATTTTCGTTAAAAGTTGCCACACACTTCGTATAGTTCGTAGCTTTGACCATCTGATAAGCGTCCCCACGTGTTCCGCATTTTCGGCTAGCTTTCTCGGCCTGTTTTCCAAACTTTGCTTAGTTTATAGTTCACTTTGTCCGGCTGATTTTGTGGCGCTTTTGGCGTTATTGCTTTTCCCGTACCCCAACTTTTTCGGATAGAACGTTTTTCTCCGGTTAGAAAAGCCGAGTTTCAGTTTCTGAGAATCCCTATCTAAGCGTCACTTCACGGGTGGTCCTTTGTTTGTGTCGCATCTTGCATTCCTGTGCCATCTTGTCCTAGTTACCCCTGTGGTGTAACGGTCGCCCCTCACTGGTCATTTCCTGCCCTTCTGTGGCTGTATTGTTTCTGAAAGCTGGTTTTCCCTTTCCCATGCTTTCTTGTGTTTTTATTGCCTCGTCTAGCCCCGTTCTTTTGTGCCCTAGTATTTTTTCTCTCCGCTAAATTTGCTCTTTCCTGTTCGGCTATTTTTTTCCTAATCCTCCTGCCTGGCCTTTTTGTTAGTCTGTCCTTTACTATGGCCCCAAAAGTTGACTTTGCCTTTGGTTTTGGAACTTCATATCCCGTCTCGATTCGTTTGTGGAAAGTCGAGCCAGTACGGCCAGGGGGCGAGTTGTTAGCAGACATTCCCGCGATGATAATGAAGACCTTTATTGTACATTTGTGTTCTACAGAACTAAGTACAGGTCGCATGGGTACAGAACATGAACATAAACATATACATTACATACAAATGAACATATAAGAGCGTAAATAAATGTCTAATTTCTATTCTTTTCGGCTTCATCTCGCTTAGTAGTGATTGTATGGATATATGCGGCTGTGAGATCACTTAGAGTAGGTTTATCGAAAGTTAAAAGGAATACAAATTTCTCTTTACTAGTCAAATATCTGAAGTGTACTTAATACATGGCTAGAAAATATGACTCTATCTCTACTGTACAAGGGGCAATCTATGGTGAAATGTATTTCATCTTCTATTTGGCCTAAACTACAGAATTGACAGGTTCTTTGTTCTAGAGGAGTGCGGTAATGTCTTCCTGATTCAATTCGTAATTTGTGACAACTGATTCTTAGTTTTGTAATGGAGGACCTGTGACGTATGTTCGCTAAGTTGAGATATTTTTTCTTATCTTTTCTTATTTATATTTTTCTTTTCTATAATGACAGTTGACACGAGGCTAATCACCGCTGTTTCCCTACAGTTGCCCAGGCCGGCGGGCGTGGAGATACGTAGCCCCTTTGCCTTCTCTCAACCAGGGATACAGACATAAAAAGGTGAGTTCATACGTACTTTTATCCATAATTTTACAGGGTGTGGATGTTTGGTAACGTCGGCCAGTTTTGGCTAAGTTAATTTATAAGGCGCAGAAGGACTGCTACTTATGCAGTTCACAGCTGCCATGTCAAGTGTACTTTTGACGCACATTCTATATCAGTCTTGTCTTCAACTGTTTTCTACGTTTCGATGACTTGTTTAGGAAATGTACACCTTGTTTTGAAGAAATACATTTCAAACCGCTACCATTTGCTCACGGTGACGTTCGCACCACGATATGTTTTGGCCGAGATCTTTATGAGGCGCGGTGAGAGGCATATTACTGTTGACTTACTTGCTGTGGATAGAGGGTAGCCATTTAAACGGGAGATTTGTCAGGTATCATATACAATAATGGTAGGAGTGTATTTCATGTATAGATACCTTCAATGTGTGAAGTCCTGTCTATTGTTTTGTCCTGACACTAGCAACAAGCCTCACACCTTATCGGACCAATGACAGCCTTTCTTCTCTCCATACAGTTGCAATACCATGTGCCTTAGCTAGTGCGCAAGCTCTAGCCGGCAGTTGCCGTGCTATAGCCGGGACAATCACATATGCCAGAAGCCGTGGTCACAGCTGACTCAAGCCTCCCGGTCACAGAGCTGATCATGACAACTGACTCCAGTCTCCTTTGTGTAAAATTTTGTTTCGATATTGTTGATGATGATAGAAGGAGCATGTTGATATCATATGTGTATTAAGTAGTAGCATCGTCGACAGAAAGAAGGCAACATGGGAGGGAACCAGATCAGTAGCAGAGCCATCACGTGCAGGCTATGTAATGCATTGCTAGCCACAGTAAACCTTACACCAGTTAGAGATTACTGGGGTGACTTACATACGTCTGTACTACGATGATACACTGCCTGTGTTTTACGGTATCTTAGTGTATATATTGTAATGACCTATTTTATATGTATTTAGAAAACCTCGCCAATGACGGTTCAAATCGAATCGAGGAGAATGTACACATTTTAAAAACCATGAAGATGCTGAACAACCGGTGTATATGGGAGCAGTGGTACGATTGCACTCTCTAACTAACTTGTAAGAACATGATAGTGCAAGACCTGATGAAACTCCGAACAGTTCCCTTGTAATTACTTAGACAGTTCTCTGTTATTGTAGTCCCTGTTATTGCTCCGGTTACAAATATGTTTGTTTCTTTGAACAAATGTATTATTCTTTGCTGAAGTGATGTACCACTGTTATGCGGTAATACAGAATACCATGGAGGTATGAGAATACTAAGTATAAAGACACAGGATTTCTACAACAAGGGATGCCAGTTCAAGAAGCAAAAGATAACTCAGTTAAGACTGAAAGGGTTAACGTATCAAGTATCATATAGTCATATATATAGCCAGTCCGTCTTAAAAGTATCCCGTGCCCAGTGTGCGGAAAGCCTTGTCTCTGCGTCTTTCCTTTATCCTCACATAGTTGCATTGAAAAGAACTTTATAATTCATCCGTTGGGTTTATGTCCAAACACATACTTTTTCATAAAGAGAAGGAAATCTACTAGAAAAAGCAACAACCAAACGCGGTGACATATTGGTTTATATTCAGACAGTCACGACATCTCCTTTAAAACATTGAAAAGAACTTTATAATTCATCCGTTGGGTATATGTCCAAACACATACTTTTCATAAAGAGAAGGAAAACTACTAGAAAAAAACAACAACCAAACGCGGTGACATATTGGTTTATATTCAGACAATCACGACATCTCATTTGAAACATCTGACTTCAAATGCTGACCATGTTCAATTCCAAACAATGATCCTGACCAAGCTGTCGAAAAAGCTCCAAAGTCATTGAAAAACGGCTAAACAGCTGGGAGGGAAGACCTCACCCGCAAGGTGTTGCCAAAAATGAATTCCCTGGGAGGGAAGACCTCACCCGCAAGGTGTTGCCAAAAATGAATTCCCTAGGGAATGCGTGCGTGGAATATTTAGAATTCCTGGCAATTCAATCGCACTACTATACTAAGGGCTCCGCCCCTGAGGCGTCGCCAAAAAATCTGAAAAATTTGAACGATTTTTAGGAATGGATAAAATACCATATTTGCACGAGAGTGCTGTGATACTTGGATATGGGGAAGTAGATTTTATAACAGTATAAACAAGAATTCTGACTTCCAAGGTCACCCACGATGACGGCGGTAGCTTCGTTACATGTTAAATATCCACACTAAAGTCACGGCATAGATGTTATGTTTTGAAGACGGTTCATATTTGTAGAAATATAATTTTTTTCAGTGATTCCCAAGTAAAAAGGGCTTGAAGCAGCGAGTTGTAGCAGATTTACTGTAAATGTTTTACAGGGACTTTGGGAAACAAGCCATACCGAGGGCACTATGTATTCATCCTGAACGAGCGGACTGGGGCAGTGCTTGAGAAGGCTACATTTGACACCCATTGGGGAGGAGATGGTACTGCAGCAGCGCGCAGCCTTACAACCTATCTGCAGGAGGTCAAAGAGGTATGTGTAACAACACAGTGGTGATGTATGGCGAGATGGCTAAAGTAATCGCCAAGGAACCAAGGGATTTGAGGTTTAAATCTTCCAAATTGTCTTGTGAAAAGGACAGGAATGAAAAATAAATATTTATTTAGATGCAAATATGTACCTGTAGTTGACTTCCTTCAGGGCTGTCCTTGAAAAGAATTAAAAGAACCAGCAAGGTCAAGGTGAAATTATCTGTCGTATAGCATGGGTCTTACATTGGTTTTTACCCGTTGTCAAAAAAAAAAGGAATAAAGATTATAAAGCGCAATGCTGACGTGACAAAGCTGGCAATGCTGACGTGACAAAGCTGGCAATGCTGACGTGACAAAGCTGGCAATGCTGACGTGACAAAGCTGGCAATGCTGACGTGACAAAGCTGGCAATGCTGACGTGACAAAGCTGGCAATGCTGACGTGACAAAGCTGGCAATGCTGACATGACAAAGCCGGCAAAGATGACGTGACAAGGCTGGCAATGATGCCGTAATGATCTTGGTTGTCCGTCGTTGTCGACGAAGACTTCTACATGCATCCTCTCCTCATCTGATGCGCCCGTAATAATGCCGATATATCAATGCTATGTATATTGAAAATGGTGACTGGCCAGATCAGATGGTTTGCGTGATAACTACGTGGAACTATGAACCTCAATATAATGAACTTTCCAGCTATTCAATTTTTTTTTTTAAAACTTCACAAAATGTAATGGCTAACATGACAAGTTCTAATAGAGACAAAAATATGGATCTTATTTAGTAATAGCACAGTTTCTGCCAGACAAAGGTTGAAGATGGAATATCAACACTAGGACCACCATCTTCCGACTTCTGTATGGTTTTCTCATGCAATGGCTCTTAACTCACAAAATGACCTCTCTTTTAAGTTCATCAATTTACGACTGCTCTACATTCTAAGATACCATAGTAGACATAGTATAATAAACATATATATAATTTTAGGTAGTTATAACATATTTATGGGGTTTTGGAATTTTCCTACACCCAACCAGGGATTCTTTCTACCAGGACCACGTTTCGGTATCTATTAGGCACCTTCCTCAGAGCTTATGACTGGATGACCGGATTTCTGCTTCTCGTCGATATATGTAGCCGGTGAATGTGTCGCTTTGGCGGCGAGAACAAAATTCTAAACGTGGCTAAGTTTGAATGGATAGAACGGGGATACAAATTTAGTCCATAGTAAACATCTTTTGATAATTTTGTTTTCTGTTGCAGGGGCGGATCATGGTTATCGCTGTCGAAGATAGCGGTTATACCGGCGTTAACAACAAACCCAACCTGGCACCTTATGGATCCAACATTCAACTAGGTAATAACTTTCTCTGTAAAATCCATTTTTACTCCATGGAGGAGCATTGTGGTCGTTTTTTTTTTTTGCGTTTGCAGCTAAAAGGCACCGTTCAGTTTTTTCTAATCGGCATGTAATTTTATACGTCGTCTGCAGCCATGTCCGTGATGATGCCCGTGTTTTTTTTTTTCCATAGCCGCTTTCGCCGTCAATGTAATATTTTAGAAGCAACCCTACATTTAAAGTGCACTTGGGACTGGCCGCAAACGAACCGTTGTTTTAGATAAGAGGGGGTTATTCTTTCAGTCAGATAAAAAAGTTGGGTCTTTAATAAGAAACAGCTGTTTCGTCGCCTGTTATAAGGTATAAGGACTGTTTTAGGTGTTTTTGCAGCTAAAAGTCATGGTTCTTTCCTTTGTATTACTGTGTAAGTCAAGGGTTGTAATTCGGGAGTTTCAGACATTGGATGCCTGGCTGGTGAGGGGAAACCCGTGGAAACCCATTTATACGGCAAGAACACGTCATGTTTCACCAACGTGTCCAATCTTGGAATATTGTGGAAATCTGGCTTTTCCTGTAATAATAATGTATTAAAATGTCTCATGGTAGGACATAGAGAATCTTGGGCCATGATCACTCAAAAAGGAATGATCCCATCTTGGTTTGTGGAGAAGAAGAGCGCAAAAGGTGCAGGACCTACAGTTGTACAGGCTTACATACAAGTGAATGACGAGGGCGAACCAGCAGGTAAAAAAAAATATATTTAAGCCCCATGTCAAACAATCACGAACTTTTTTTCAAATCCTTTCCCGAACACAAGGTAATCAGGTTCGGTTCACATTCGGGAGCGTTTTGACCACATTCAGGCCACGTCATGAATTTACGTTAGAGTTGAGAAAAATTTTATCCCTAATTCAGTCCATCCTTTAATCCCGTGTCATAGATTGACTAATATGACCTCCCGAACACTAGCAAAACCCCCCGCCCCAAATAAGGTTAGAAATAGCACCAGCTGGGACAATTGATGTTCGAACAGGTTGTCTACTGACTACATACCAACCAAATGTTGTTCAAATCTTAAAAACATACTTAATAAAATTCGATACGCATAGAAAAAGAAGGTGTAAAATTTGGTCCAACTGCTCCCGAACTTTAGCCCACCTTGGTCCGCTGGTGTTTGAACGAATTGAAGAACGCTGTCGTGGCGTCATTGTAAACGACACCCTTTATAATTCTGTTTAGAGTACACTTGTGATACGGTATTTGATATGGCTATGGAAATCGTAATGCAGTTTATAATGAAAAGTATTGTCCATCTAAATAAAGTTTAAAAATTTGATAGAAATATAGTATTACCCTAATACACAAAATAATTCACTAAAATTATGCGACACAGAATCTGACGGTACTAGTATATTTTCTGTGTACGTGTGTTGACTTCAGGTGCATGGTTGGCTCAGGATCCGTCATGGTTTGTGATGTCTGTCGGCAAACCTCATGTCAAGGACGGAGTGACATACGATGCAGCCAAAGTCTTGGATGGAGACACTAAAACCTACTGGAACGTCTACGGTACCTGTCTAAACTACAACAACTGGTTTATCATACTGGACCTCAAATCCCACCGCACTTTGATCCGCATAGCTGTCAACAACTACGGAGACACCACCCATGACATTGCAGCCTTTAAGTTGCAAACATCGCAGGGTAGAGGCTTGTGGAACTGGAAGGACATCGTGACCATCACTAACGTTTTGGCAGGGACGAGGCAGCGTCAGGAGTTCGGCGGTTTTCAGGAAACAGGGCGGTACTGGAGGTTCGTGATCACGCGGACACACTCAGGCT